GGTGCTCCTCCCACCAGGGGTGCTCCTCCTCCCAGGGGTGCTCCTCCCGCCAGGGGTGCTCCTCCCGCCAGGGGTGCTCCTCCTCCCAGGGGTGCTTCTCCTCCCTGGGGTGCTCCTCCCAGGGTGCCCTCAGCCCCTGTGGAGTCAGCAGAGTCCTTCTATCCTCAAGGGCAGCCTCCGCCCTGTGGAGCCATCAGAAAGCTGGATGTGCCTGGAAGGCCTGGCATGGCCCTGGCCTGGTCCCTGCCTCTGTCCCTGCATGGCTTTGCTGGCTTAGGGGCCAAGGAGAACGCAGATGAGCTGCCCCGTCCGTGGCACGCAGGGCTCCTCCCAGCTGCTCGGCTCCAGCCACTGGATGGCCTCAACACGATCAAACCTGGCTGAGCAAAGCTGGACTGTGGATAGGGAAGGGGGGACGGAAGCTTCGAGGCCATTGCAGGAGTGAGATGAGAAGTCCTGAACTGAGATACTGGTCATGGAGGTGGAGGGCAGAGATGGACTAAGAGAACTGCAGGTGTCACTGGGACAGGACCTGGCTTCGGGGAGCCGGGGAGTGGGAAGGGCCATGTCTGAGGAAGGGACTTCGGCCTGAGTACCTCCGAGATGGGGACTCTGATGAAGGACAGACACCCCTCTCTTGCATCCCACTGAAGGAGGGTCAGGTGCTGCCCCAGCTGGTGGCCCACCTCGGGAAGGCTATGCAGCCCCTCAAATAGCTCAGAAGGTACAGTGCCCACTCTGGATGCCAGGGGCTGGGGCAGAGCCATGGATCAGAGGGTGGGTAAAGGGAACCCCCAGCCAGGAAAGATCCCCAGGGAGAAGCCTCCCCAGCTGCCAGCCTGGGTCATTGCTGTTGAGTCACAAGCCCAGAACCTCTCATCTTGGCGAATAAAGCAGCCAACATCTCTGTTTTAGAGTCCCACTGATGGCCTGTGAGTGACTAGGGGCCAGGAGAGGGAGGGAAACCCAAGGGACAGAGACGTATCTCCATGCCCCTCTGTGTGTGTCCTCAGTGGACATCAACCAGCAAATGCCAAATGGAAAAATAAATGAATGACACTCCACTGTGTCCCAGTGCCCACTGCATGCCAGGCCCTGTGCTGGGTGCTTGACTGAAGGAGATGAAACATAATATAAGCCCCCCCCACCCCCATACAGACATCCCAGCCATGACAGAGGCCAGGCCAGGGGCTCAGATCTGAGTTGGGGTTCAACAGTCTGGCAGAGCTCCCCAAGCAAACGAACATTAGGCAGTCTCCCTTTGGGGGACAGCTCGGGCCCTAGGTTGGAGTGGCCTGGGGGCGGGCCAGGCAGGTGAGACTGGGGGCTGGTTGGGAGGGGAAACTGAGAAGCTCCAAGTCTCCAGCAGCTGGGAGGTGGCAAGCAGCTTTCACGGGAAATGCCTCATTCTGTCTCCAGTATTAATGAGTATCCGGAAGCCTCACCTTGCTTCTTTGTCCGTCATCTTTGTTCGGTGACAGTTGGGGAAGACCTGGAAACCCCTCAATGCAGTAATAGCTTCTCCTCTTCGACCTCCTGCTGCTATTCAAAAGCACAGGCCCCCGATGTAGTCCCTGTGAGGTTTTGATTAGGAGGGAGAAAAATAGTTATGTATTTGAAAAACTCTCCCTTGAGTGATTTCTTTGAGAAAAAAAAAATCATCCATATCAAAGCAGATGCTTTTCAGATTGCAGGTCCAAATATTCTGGAAAGTTCAGGAGTCACTTGCTATTTAAATCTCTTGAAAGCTGCCTAGTTAATTACTTCAGTTAGAAGGTTTCGTCTAAATTGTGCTCCACACCCAAGGTCGGGGAGGAAGAGAGATCTATTTTGGCAAAGAGCTTCAAAAAATGTTGATTTTTCTCCTCCTGCAAAGTACCGCATAGCAATCTTCTATTTGTATACCTCTTGTATTTCCAACACAATTTCTCCTCAAATTATATCACTGCGGCATCGCAGGGTTTGTGTGAGGCTGGGGCAGAGGAAGGACGATTTCCATACTTTGCAGATTCCCAGGGTGGGAGGTGTCTGGTCCAGGAAGACAAAGGGAGTTAGAAGCAGGATTCACTGCAGAACCCAGATTTCTGAGCCCAGCGGCTCTGACCCACACAGGCATTCCACAGATGGGCAGCAGCGTGTTGACGAGCCTGTGAGATGTGCATGTACGAGTGGATCGTGGCAGCAGTTCTTAGAGGTTGGTTTGCATCAGAGTCACCTAGAGGGCTTCTCAAACCCTCTGGGCCCCACCTGAAGTGGTCCTGGGGTGGGGCCTGAGAATGTGCGTTTCTAATGAGCACCCAGTGATACTGATGCAGCTGGTCCAGGGAGACACTCGGAGAAGTGCTGGCCTGGGAAAGGAGCTGAGCTGTTAACTAGGCTCTTGGTGAAGGGTATGACCTGAAGGACTGAGCAGAGCAGCCCATCGGTAGTTGTCTGGAACCACCTGTCTCCTCTCCTGCCAGGGTCTGAACTGATGCCCAAGGCCCTCTCCACGCGCATCATTGGCGGCATCTGGTGGTTCTTCACGCTCATCATCATCTCCTCCTACACGGCCAACCTGGCTGCCTTTCTGACCGTAGAGCGAATGGAATCCCCCATAGACTCTGCGGATGACTTGGCCAAGCAAACCAAAATTGAGTATGGGGCTGTGAAGGACGGCGCCACCATGACCTTCTTCAAGGTGAGAGCCTCCCCTTTGCGACACCATGCGCTTCCCTAACCACAGAGCCGACAGGGCAGAAGTCCCGAGGGCTCAGCCCCTCTCTTTGAGACCAGCTGACTCAGGGGAACTGAGGTGATATGGCCAGTGGGGTTGATCCAAGCATGGATCCTGGAAGTTTCTGTAGCTGGGACAAGCAGGGTGGATGTGCTATTCCTTAAGTCAGCAGAGGAGGACAGGTGGGGAGGTGCACCAGGTGGGGAGGTGCGCCAGGTGGGGAGGTGCACCAGGCGGGGAGGTGCGCAGGCGGGGAGGTGTGCCAAGAGGAGGGAAAGGAGCAGGGTGGCCTAGATACAAGCATAAGCAGGCCGTGACCCAATGCCTGGCTCCAGGGCCCCCCATCCTTGGTTTGGGTCCATCGCTGCGAGATTGGGCTGGCATGGTGATGAGTGCTTCAGCCCCGAGGGCAGCAGAGGCTCAGCCTTGAAGAAGAGCGTGCCGTGCCCTGGGTGGCGTCGGGATAAGGCCCACCACCTGCTTGGGCGTCTGCTCTGACGGGGATCCGGCCCTGACGGCGCCTCCCGCATGACGGTGTTGGCTCGGGTTCCCCCATGTCTGATCATCTTCTACTAGAGAAGCTGAGGGTTTAGGAGCCTGTCCAGTCCCGAGAGCCAGTAGCTGTAAACGTTCTTTAGAAAGGAGGTGATACCGTCACTACCGCCGCGGCGGCCAGGCACTGTGGTGACACCTGGCCTCGTTTGATCTTCATGACCGACCCTGTGACGCAGGCGCTATGACCATTTCCACTCTGCATGTGGGGAAGGTGAGGCGCAGAGCATCTAAGCCGTGTGTGCAAGGGCTCGCAGCTGAAGGAGCCAGGCACTGACCCGGGTCCGCCTTCCTCCCAAGCCCGTGTCTCCGTCTTGGCTCTGACCTGAGATGCATCCAAATGCCCTGTGGGTTTGGGGGGCCCAGATTGCGGGGCGCACACCCTCAGCACTTTGGTTCAGGTCTGGGATGAGGGTGAGCATGTGCAGACTGCCAAGCTCCCAGGTGCAGCTGGTTCCGCTGGCCTGGAAATCACGTCTCAGACATGCCAGGACCTGGGAACTCGGGCTCCAGGTCCATCCATTCATGTGTTGGCTTACTAGTCAATTGCTCTTGGTGGGTCTAGAAACCGCGAGGATTTCCCTTCCCCAGGCCTCACCTCCCTCCAGGCTGTGAGGGATGGATGGAACCCCCAACGAGGCTTGAGTAGGGACAGTAGGAAGGGGGTGGGTGGAAAAGCCTCCCACCTGCTGGGTGCCTACATGTTGCCCTGCCCCCACTTCACGGCCCCAAAGGGCACCCTCTGGATGGTGCTGCTGCGTGAGACACAGTAAGCGCAGCCCCCCACCTGCGAGGGGAAGACTGAAGCATTACCGGTGTGTGAGGAGCCTCAGGGACCCTGTGCGTGTCCATGAGTCTACACAGCCTGGGAGGTGTGTACGTGCGTGTGTGCACGTCTCAGTGTATTGCACGTGGAAGCGTGCTTCCATGGAGGTCTGTGCACACGGGGGGCCTTGCACAAGGGCCTGCCCATGTGGGCACACGTGCCTTTGTGCTTGGGCAGCGGCTGCATCTGGGGTGCACTCTGGCGAGTGACCCTGGACACGTGGCCGTGTGCCTGGGAGTATTCGCGAGGGAGATGTCTCCGTGTCTATGGGCAGGGTGTAAGCACAGCCGTCTGCCTAATGTCCCCAGAGGCGTGCCCAGGTGCGGGGCAGAGGGGGCAGTGTGCGACAGCCCCTGCATGTGTGTGCATGCGTGGTGTGGTATGGAGGGTGGGTGCGTGCGTGCCTGCTTGTGCCCACCCCCGGCTGTGGCCCAGCCCTTTGACAGTGCCAGAGCATCTCTCATGCATTACGCATGAGTCCGCCTCTAAGCAGGGCTCCCGATCAAAGAGAAGCGGCATAAATAAGCCCCGCGCTGGCTCATCGCCGCTGATTGGATGCCCTTGCTCCCTCCATGCTAAGATGCTCAGATTGGTTTCTGAGCGCCCAGTCCCAGTTCCCCACCAAGCTGCTGTCCCCGGCATCACGCAGGACCTCCCACAGCCTGCCCCACCCTCACCCACCTTCCCTGCGTGCAGTGCAGGAGGCGGGCAGTGCAGGGACAGATGCTGTCACCCAGCTGGACACGGGTGCGCACGGGCCCCGCACGCCGGGGGCCTTCAGCCAGAAACAGCAACCCCAGCTCCCTGCAGAACAAGCTCCATTTGCTCTCCAGATCGGTTAATTCTTCTGTCTGGCCACATCATCTCCTGCTTTAATTCAAACGAAGCTCTTCTTCCCAGGCTCCCTTTGCTGGCAGCAGCCGTGAGGCTGTCATGAGGCGGAGGAGAGTCTGCTCCTAGCCTGCTTCACGCCACGGGCTAGGAGCACAGCATAGACGGCCCCGCCCCACGGCCCCTGCCCTCCAGAGCTGGGCTTCATCCTACCTCTGGCCCCTCCGCCCACGCAGGCCAGGCGGGACCCCTAGTTGTGACTGCAAGCTGCTGCTGGAAGGGGCCTGAGCTGAGCCTAGAGAGGGAGGCCCGTGGCGGGGGTGGGCATGTGCGCTCTACCCATGATCGCACAGCACGTCAGTGATGGAGAGCTGGGACGTAAGATTAAGTGTGCAGCGCCTCCCGCCGCACTGCAAAGGCCTGCTCCCATGGTCCCTGGTACAAGTACACGGACGGCTGGCACTGGGTGGCACTCGCTCGACGAGTGGCCGCTAGATGTCTGGGAGCCACTGGGCAGTCAACAGTAATGGCATTTACTGAGCATTTACTGTGTGCCAGGCAGACTCCAAGCGCTATAGCTGCATTTACTCACCTCACCCTGGGAGCAACCCCGGAGGGCAGAGGCTTGTTGATTATCATCTGTTTTACACATAATGAAAGTCAGGCTCACTGAGTAACCTGGAGGAAGGCTAACTCGCCCCTGTCACACAGCTAGTAAAATGCAGGGCTGGCATTTGAACCTAGGCCGGCTGGGTGAGGGGGTGCTCAGCCACTCAGTCCACATTGCCTCACCAAAGACCCAGCCACTGTCCCTGAGACCCCTGGGGAGGACGGAACCCCAGCCTCCGCCAGGCCTGGCACACCGTCGCTGCTCAGATAGTTCTTGCTGAGTGGATGCCGTTGTTGAATTAAAGGGTGGGATAAAAGGATCCAAGTGGAGCAAATGCAAGAGATTGCGGAGGACAGCATGCACGGCAGTGGCGTGTCCCAGAGTGCCCAGCAGGTGACCCTGACGTGGCTGGCCTGCGTTCCTGGTGAGGCTGCAAACCGTCGTAAAAATGCCCCCGTGGCTGAGAGTAGGAGAGAGAGGGGAGGAGGGGGGAGAGATGGCAACGGCAGGAAGCCACAACCCAGGGTGGGGGGCCCACTCCTTGCCCAGCAGCCCACCCCTGCCACCATGGAGACTGCGTGGCTAGCCACAGACCCAGCTTTCCAATTTTATTCGAAGAGTTGTTGGGGAGCAGCCGACATCACAAACAGCATCTCCTGTGTTGTCTTCCCTGTGTCTTGGAAGATAAAAATTAATTAGGAGATGAAAAAGGTGGCCTTTGAAAGCAGTTTTGGCTATAAAAATCTGTAGGCAAAAATGTAAAGGGGAATGTTGGGGAAGCGGGTTCTTGGCGGGGAGGGCCGGGCAGAAGACAGCTTCGGGGGACCTGGCCTTCCTTGGTGCGGTGTGGTGTAGGGGCGGCACATCGCACGTGGGTGGGACCGAGTGTGGCGGCGCTCAGGAAAGGGGCGGGAGCCAGGCCATGAAGGCCAGGCCCCCCAACCCCTAGGCACAGCCAAGACCTCCCTCTTGCTCAGGCACACCCCACCTCAGTAGCTGAGCATGGAGGGCACTAGGGAAGGCCATCCAGTCCAGCCCTGGCTCTGCCCAGCAGACTCTGCCCAGCAGGCAGGCTCCCCGATCTCAGTGCCAGTTGCTCCTGGCCAGCCGCAGCTCCATCAGAGCAGCCTTAGCCAGACCTCCAAGCAGAAGCAGGGAAGGAGGAAGGAACAGCAGGGGACCTCGGGATTCAGGGTGCAGCCCCGTGCAGTCTCTTACTGCAGGCCTTAATGTCAGGCCAGGTCTTGAGTCGTGGGTGCCAACTTTGCTCACTGGCCTTGGCAAGTCACGTCTTCACGCCTCAGTCTGCTCACCTTATGACATGGGTGTTGTTTCTTACCATGTGGCAATTAGCAAGAGGATTTGATTGCACTCCTGGATATACCACGTGTGCTCAGTGCCAGCCACACAAAACATAAATCAAAGGCTTTCTCCCCTGGATGCACCTCCAGCAGGTTGGCCTGGGAGGCAGGGCAGCTGGCTGGCCCAGGGGACAGGGCAGCAGGCTGGCCCAAGTGATGGTGCAAAGTTGTTGGAAGCTGCTAAGCTACTGAGGGCCCTCTGACCCTCCCTGCGCTCGTCTCATCTATACTATGGGTGCAGGGACACTCCCACTGCCTGGAGTTACTGCCATGATTCGGGAGGATGACTCCCATCACTGCGTAGAACCCACTGACCCTGTCCACCACACGTGACTTGTGGCTGTTTTTACTATTTATCACTGAGACCGGTGGCACAGAGGCCTACTCAGCCCGCAGAGGTGATTTGGGAGGGGAGCCACCCCTTGCTGATGTATATTTAATTAGTTGCCAGCATTTTAAAACTGACTTTGCCTTTAAAAAATTCATATTTCTAACTTCTTGAAAACGTGGAAGACCTGGCCTGTCAGAGCTGGGGATCCCGCAGAACAATTGTCAGAAGTGACCTCGGCAAGAGACAACAGTCCCTGCAGCCTATTGAAATTCCACTCGGCATCCCTCGCTTACATACAGTGCCTCGCCTGGCCTGTCAGTCCCTGGAGTGTCTACCCCTGAGTACCCTAATTTCTAGATGAGCAAACAGCCTTTAAGAGTTGGGCAGAGAAAGAAGGACACCAGCCACCTAACTAAGCACTGCTAGGGACCACGCTCTGTGCTGAGCGAACCCCCATTTGCAGGTATAGAAAGTGAGGCTCAGGGCTGGGACATCACTAGCTGCTGGTCCCAGACACTGGGTCTGCATGCAGGCTGGTGTGACGCCAGAGTCCGTGGGTAGAGCTAGCATCTCCCAGGACCTCCACAAGCAACTCACCTCCTGACTGCCCCTGCAGGGGACAGTCTGCAGCCTTTACCTCCTGGGTGACCCTCTGGGGCTGGTGCCGACACCCGGAGGGTAAGCAAATTTGTCCCGGGCAAGTGGGCTGCAAGAGCAAGAAGGAGCCGCAGACTCAGGGAGTCTCCCCGGTCCCCACAGAAATAACCCAAGAGACGTGATTAACTGCTAGAGTGAGTGGAGCCGAGAAGGCCAAAGAGTCCACGTCCAGGGATAACAAAGCCAGTCAACTTGGGGAAAGGCTTCCTTCCCCATATAGGAAATACGCAAGGTCTCGCATGGAATCACATCGCTGCTGCCGCCCCACACACGTCCCGGGATTCAGCTCCCTTTGGAATTGATATATATTTATATATATACGCATATATACCTATATTCATTTTCTTGTACGGAAATGTTAAATTCTCAAGATTAAGTATCTTCAGTTGGGGAAAATCAATTTACTTCTTTGAAGCGGCTGGAATTGAAAGTCATGAGCCTGAAACTTACTTTCTTGCCAATTTCACTGATAAAAAAAGCCTCTGTGTCCTGGCACATCGCCTTGTATTGGCTGCTCCAAACGATTCCATTAATTGATTTGGGTGACTGGCCCCGAAACACTGCTTATTAGAGTTCCCACGGGGGCTGGGACAGGCAGGATGATGCAGGAGTCTTAGGGATGGGAGGCTCCATTCCCTGGGAGGGTGACGCTAGCTCAGGCCAGTGGCGGGAACTCAGGCCCCCGGGGAGCAGGTCAGGAGAATGGGTCCAGGAGGGGCCCTGGCTGTATCCCTCAGAGGGGATAGGCTCTGGAATCACGGAATTGCTCAAGAGCAGAAGGCAGAAATTAAGAACAGCATATCGAGAATGGAGGTGGTTGAGATCGGGAGCCCCAAGATATAGGATAAGCACAGTGAGGGGCCATGTAGGGAGGCAGAGGCAACTGTCTGCAGGTTTGGAGGGTATAAGCTTGTTGACAGCTATTGCGGGAAGAGAAGAACCTCTTGAAATCAGCATCACAGCCAACTTCAAGGCCAATTGTCACCTCAGGTGCCCGAGCTCATGGCATCCTTTCCCATCTGCCTCAACAATCTGGGACCTGCAGAGCCACTTGCTCCAGGACCGGGGGTGGGGCTGACCCCTGCTGGGAGCAGGCGCTTGGCAGGCACCAGGCACCCAAGAAAACTCATGAATGCCACTGTCCTGATCCACCCTGTTCCCTCCGAACGCCTGCACCCCCCCTCCAGCCCTTCTCAGAGTCTCCCCTGCCAGGCCAGGTAGGACGAACACAGCAGCCCCCACCAGGCACCCAGCCCGAGCGCGCTGGGGACTGCCATGGTCAGGGGGCACAGCACTCACAGACCCCCTCCAGCCAGCCCCTCCGTCCCACTCTGCTGTTTCACCCTGCTCAGGCGTTCTGCCAGTCAGTGAGGCACCTGCTCTGGTGGAGTAGGAGTGTTGGCCCCAAAAGCCACAGCGATGCCCTCAGGGCATCCACCTCTTCCCTCTACTCTCCCAGTGGGGAGAGAAGGCCCAGCTGAGTGGTGAGGGACATGGGCTGTAGTGGCCACGTAGCTCCTGAGACACCTCAGGAAGCACCTAACCACGCCTCAATGGCCCCGTCTGTAAAATGGGCTAATGATTGTGCCGCCTGCTGTCACTGTGATGAAAATCCGAGTTGGTGCAGATAAAGCACCTAGACCAGGGCCTGAATAGAAACCGTTTGCTAAGTATAAGAGAAAGCAAGTTCACTTGTACAAGACCAGCCTGACAGCCTCTGGTGCCATAGCATAGAGCCCAGGGTTCCGGGGTGCGTGGGCCTGCGCGTCGCCCTGAGCTCTCACCCCTGTGCGTTTGGGGCCCACCCAGGGCCTCGTGCCCCCGCCTGGCAAGTGGAGCGGTGCTCGGTCCACGGTGCATTCAGTCACTGTGTGCATCATCCCTCCCACCTGGCCCAGAAATCCAAGATCTCCACTTTCGAGAAGATGTGGGCCTTCATGAGCAGCAAGCCCTCGGCGCTGGTGAAGAACAATGAGGAAGGCATCCAGCGGGCCCTCACGGCGGACTACGCGCTGCTCATGGAGTCCACGACCATCGAGTACGTCACCCAGAGGAACTGCAACCTCACCCAGATCGGGGGCCTCATCGACTCCAAGGGCTACGGCATCGGCACGCCCATGGGTGAGACGGGGCTGAGGGGCAGGGACGGGCGAGGCCCCCACGTCCCACAGCACAGTCTCCTGCTCCCCCTCCCAGCTCACGCTCTTGAGCCCCCCAAGGTAGCATTCGCTGCACTCAGAGATGAAGGGGGAAGCCTCACAGCGCCTGTGGTCAGTCCCGCCCCACAGAGGGGAGTGAGCAGAGGCTGGGCGCCCAGGCTCAGGGGGCGCCCGCTGGCCCTGACACTCTGAGCCAGCGGGGACCTGTGCAGACGGGGGTTCACAGGTGAGACACCCCAACGTCTCACCCACGTGATGTTATCAGCCAAAGTTATTTCCATAAAAAAGACAAAGTGGGGCCCTCCCGTAGGGCTCCCTTCATGAGCACCCGAGAGGGCTGGTGGCAGTGGTGGGTACATGGGGGTTGGGGGGCCCCACGGGAGGGCTGGGGCGCTCACAGCCGGGCCCCCCTCCCGGCACAGGCTCCCCATACCGGGACAAGATCACCATCGCCATCCTGCAGCTGCAGGAGGAGGACAAGCTGCACGTCATGAAGGAGAAGTGGTGGCGGGGCAGCGGGTGTCCCGAGGAAGAAAACAAAGAAGCCAGCGCCCTGGGCATCCAGAAGATCGGGGGCATCTTCATCGTCCTGGCTGCCGGCCTCGTCCTCTCCGTGCTCGTGGCCGTGGGCGAGTTTGTCTACAAGCTCCGCAGAACAGCAGAGCGCGAGCAGGTGAGTCCGAGAGCGGGGACCCTGGCCTCAGTCTCCCCACGGCGCCTGCACCCCGCCTCACCTCCGGGGAGCCCTGGCAGCCCACCTGTGCCCTGACTCGGCACGTCCCGTCGCTGTTGCCCCTCAGCAGCCTCTGGCCGGGCCTGCCTGTCCCCTCTCCAGTCCCCCCTCCAAACAGCAAGCCCGTGCCTTGTTGAAACCTTACTCCAGCCAAGCCGCTGCCCGCCAGAAACCTCCCAGGGTAGTTGTTGGAGCTGGGGGGATGGGCCCAGGGGGGCTCCTTACACCATGCGCTCTACTCCTGCATATATTTGCAAGTGCCCAAACCAGAGCTTAAAGAAGAGATGCGGCTAGCCCAAGCATGGTAAAACTAGGCTCAACGCACGCGATTAGTCACGTGTGGTCGGGTACCCATCTGGGCCCAGGTAGCAAGTCAGAATCTCTGGGAGAGGTTGTAAGTGGTAATGCTCTGGCCCTGCTCCCAGACACTGTCGCTTTCATTGGTCTGTGGGGCAGTCTGGCATCGGTGCCTGAAAGTGCCCGGGGTGATTCAAGAGTGCACCTGATGTGAGGGGTTGGAGAGGCACCTGCCCCGGACAAGTGCAGAGCCCGGCAGAGCCAGTCTGGAAGGGGACTGCAGTGGCGCCAGGCAGGGGAGAGGACTACAGAGCAGCAGGTGCCCCCTTTCATCCGCCCCCCAAAAGTGAAGGAGTCCATGATAACCAGTAAGCCTGAGTCAGCAAAGAGGAGGGAAGAGCATGCGCAGTACAGTTAGCGTGGAATTGGGGGGCGGGGCGTTCTTGCATTGCTAGGGAGCTCCTTGGGAGCCCGTTTCTGGAAGGTAACTTTGCGGTGGTCAGTCTTTTGAAATGTCTACACATTTTGACTAGTCAGTTTCTACAGTAAGAAACCCTCCCAGTGGAAGCGGGCAAGGATCTGTGTTTTGTGCACAAGGGTGCTTGGCAGAGTATTGATTATAATAAGCCCAAATGCCCCTGAACAGTAGGGGCTGGCTCAGTGTGACGAAGCAAGGACGTCCAGCCGCTTCGCCCCCCAGCGGCTCCCCATCCCTCCTCGCTTGCTGGGCTCCATACACACTGGCCTCAGCGCACCAAGTGCATTTCTGCCTCCAGGCCTCTGCAGTGCTGTCCCCCCTCTTCAGAGCTCTTCTCCTGGAGCCCCAAATTCTTGGCATCTTCTGGTCATTTGGGTTTTAAGCCACATGTCACCTTCTCGAGTCGCCCTCCCTCGCGTCTACTTCCAACCCCCCTCTGTCCCATTCACCAACTTATTCTCTTTTTTTTTAAAAGATTTTATTTATTTATTTATTGGTACAAAACTGGGGTATAGGCCAGAGATGCAGAGGGTGAGAGAGGATTCACCAGAGGCAGAGTGGGGAGCAGAACAGGCAGATCGACGAAGTACACTGCTGAGGGGAGCAGTGGCCAGTCAGGAGAGGTCTGCCACGCCATGTGGTCACCTCCAGGGCAGGCGGGGATCGAACTCATGAGGAGGCGGCTTTAGATTCTCAGTGCTGGGCTTTAACCTGCTGCGCCACCAGGGAGGGCCCCAACTGATTCTCTTAACGATAGTTCTCACAACCTAAAATTGCTTGTCTGCTCTCCTGTGTATGGTTCGGCCCCACCGTTAGGCCATAAGGTCCTGCGGTGTGCGTAACACCTAGACCAGGGCAGATACAAGTAGGGTCTCAACAAATATTTTCAGAATGGGGGAAAGGGGCTGGCATGGAGCGCCATTCTGTGTTGACCAGGACAGCAACAGGAGCACACAGCTGGCAAGACACAGAGCCAGGATTCAAAGCCAGCCTGTTCCCTACACCACGCGGCCTGCACCGCCTGTACAGGTGCTCACGCTCAGCCTCACTGAGGAAGTTGAGGCACAGAGGGCGCCTTCCTGGACAAGCCCAGGGCCATGTCTGGCTGCTGGCCTTGTGCAAGTCCCAGCTGTGGGCACCTGCCTGCTGCATCTGTGTTGTCCTCTTGCATCCCCCAGAGACACAGGCCAGAGCTGGCCACAGCTACCCAACAGCTCCAGGGAGCTCCTCCCAGTTGCTACCTTGAGTTCACATGCTAGACCTTCCTAAGCACCAGCCGCTTAGCTGGGAAAAGGCTTATCCCAACAGTCATCAAGTGTTTAAGCCCTAACTCTGGGCCAGGACTGGGCCGGAGTCACAGGACAAAACTGGCTGTTTGCTGGACTCAAACTAGTGGGAGAAAATCATGCATGTGTGCTAATCAGACGCCCGGTTTCCTCAGTGACAGGATGGGGACAAGCAGCTCCTATCCCCCTCCCACCCCCCAGCCCCCCGCCCCCCTCCAGTCTCCAAAGGAGAACATGAGGCTTTGTAGGCTGCTGAGCAGGCTGATGATCCTTTGTGGGGGAGAGGGTGGCTGGAGTATGAGCCAGACCTGGTAGCCTTAGACAGGCTCTGGGAGAAGCAGGGGAGCTGGCTGAAGCCGCAGGGCTAGGCCTGACCCACGTGTCCCTCACTTTCTTCCCTCCCCAGCGTTCCTTCTGCAGCACCGTGGCCGACGAGATCCGTTTCTCCCTTACCTGCCAGCGTCGGGTCAAGCACAAGCCACAGCCTCCCATGATGGTCAAGACTGACGCTGTCATCAACATGCACACATTCAATGACCGCCGGCTCCCGGGCAAGGACAGCATGACCTGCAGCACATCACTGGCCCCTGTGTTCCCCTAGGCACGGGGGGGTGCAGCCCACAGGCCTGGGGGCAGGATGGAGGGAAGCAAAGCAGACAGGAAGGAGAGGCCCCTGCCCCCCTGCTGGGCTTGGGGACCAGAGCTGCTGCCTGGCTAATGAGCCAGGAGGCCTCTGCCCTTACCCAGTGGAAAACCAGCAGGCCCCCAGCCAGCTGCTTGGGCTTCACTCTTCTCTTGTTTCTTCTATGGGTTTCTACAGCTGCCAGCCAAGACAGCCACGGCCAAAGGAAGCACATGCCTCTCTCAGGCCAAACTCACCTGCCCCTCGGCTCCCCATGGCCAGAAGTGACAGCCACGGCCCTGCTGAGGCCAAAGAAACAGAGGAGCGGCTCTCGTGTCACCACTCCTTCCCCGGGAGCTCAGGCCTGGGCTTGACCGTCAGGCAAAAGACACACGTCTTGGGCCCCTTACGGATGCCATGCTGTGACAGCCAAGGGGAGCTGAAGCTGGGGGGCGGCAGCCCCACGTGCCTGGGCAGGAGGAGGACTCTGTCCATCAGGAGCGGCTTACACCGGCCTGATCTCCAGGACTTGGCGCCACCGTGGCAGCCCCTGCTTTGCAACATTGAAAACAGAAAGCCCCGTGGGGGAGAAATGGAGTTTGGGTCCGGGAGAGAGGAGAATGCAGGGGCCGCCATTTTTAATCCATGGACAACGTCCCAGTGGCTCCGATTCCTCCAGGAGGCCCCTGGGAGCATAAAGCGGGGCAGCTTCAGAGCATATTTCCCCCATTCTCTGGCCAGAGGTGTGAGGACCCCCTGAATCTCTCGCAAAGGATGCCCAGAGACTCATCTGGTCTTTGGAGCCTGGAGGACGAGTGGATTTCATGGGAATCTCATGGGCTCTCGAGCCACGGAGCTGACTGTGCTTATTCCCAGCTGTTTTCTAAGCCCTGATAGCATTTGGGAGCTTAGGCTCTTGGCCATCCACTCATCAGCAACTTCCCATCTGGCCAGTTGACCAGATCTTTCTGTCATCTTGGAAGAAGGGGAGCCTAGATTATAGTGAATGTCATCACAGTCTCCAGCTAGGAGGATGGTGTCCTACTGCACGAGCTAACTTTGGGGTAGGTGGAGACGTCCAGAGGGCCCTAAAGTCATATGGCCTCCAGACTTGCTAACCCTAAAGATACTCCCGAGGAAAAGGCAGATTATATTGGTAGCAGCCCCAAGGGTGGGGAGGGAGAAACTGCCTCCTGGAGATTAACCAAAGACCCACACAGAGAGACAAGGCCCTGTGGGCCCTGGTGTCTTGTTCAGAGCAGCTGGGCCCTTGTGGGGCTTGGGGGAACGCTAGAGAAGTAGTAGCCGATGAGGTAACAGTGAGGGGTGGGCCAGCTGGCTGTGATGGTCACTCTAGAGGTCTGTGAGTTTAAGGCTCCGGGAAAAGAATTGAGACAGAAAGGGTTAGGAGCAAAGTGTCCTTAAAGAGAACAGAATGGGACTCACGGGGCTTCTCACAGCCGAGGGCAGAGGGCAGTCTTTGAGCAGGACAAAGGGACCAGAGGCTCTAGACAGGGACCCAGGAGGCGCTGGCCACCTTCCTCCCACCTCTTCTGTTTCTGCCTGGGGTCCTGGTTAGAGAAAAGCTGCACTTAAGTCTCAAGGACCTTCTCAGCTGAGTGAAGGGTAATCTCCAGCTCCCCCCCGGGAATCCCAAAGCAGGCGAGCACTGTGGGCTCTTCGAAACTATGAGCTGCAGAACCTAACCAGCTGGTTTCCAGAATCGCAGCAGCTCCGACAGGCAGCGTGCACAGGAAGGGGAGAGTGCTGGACGCACCACAGAGCCAATGCATGTGAGCTAGCAAGACATGAGCTTCCATGGGTGGGCACGTGCGTGTGCGTGTGCGTGTGCGTGTGTGTGTGTGTGTGTGTGTGTGTGCGCGCGCGCACACACTGGTGTCTGCCTTCATGTGAGTGAGCTCTGGGGGCTGGGAGTGAAGGACAGATCTGGCCATATGAGAGTCGAGGGCATGCAATAATAGGAGGATCCTTCTGTTCAGAGGTGTGTAGGTGTGTGTGTGTGTGCAGGTATGTGAACTGGGGGTGCGGAGACAAATATGGGCAAGCAGTGGAGCCCCATAAATGTAAAAACAGGAAAAGCCATGTCGCCGTGGGGTTCTGGTGAGTACACATTTGTACATCTGCCTCACGAATGTATGCTGCGGGGTGTGTGTGTGTGTCTGTGTGTGTGTGCACCAAATGATAGAGGGTGGGTGACAAGATAAAACCAGCAGCGTTGCCAAATATGTCTAAAAGGAGAAGCCATGTCATCAAGGTGTCCGCCTGTGAGTGTGTGGGGGTGCAGAGAGAGCGAGGGTGCCGTCAGTACACGCTGCTCTCGAAAGCCGCGGAACTGGTGTCTGCTCACACGTGTGCGCCCACACACGTGCTCAAATGCACACGCTCCAACTCACAGCAGGGGCGGAGACAATCAGGAAGGCAGGGAGCCAGGGTCTGTTTGCACTTGTCCGGGAGAGATCCTATGTCACAAAGCGTTGCCAGATTGTATCAACGATCGCAGGGAGGCTGGCCAAGTGGGGGCACAACACTTCAGGGACTTCTGGCTGGTGACTCCTTTGCTCAAGGCAGTGTCCTGTTGGAGGGGAAACATGTCTGTGATTCCCAAATAACAGGATTCTAACAATGTTCTCTCCAATTTGCTTTCAGCAACCACAGCGACTAACCACTCTCTTTCTTTGTCCAGTATAATTTCACAGCACCCGCCACATCCACACACAGTCCCCACACTGGTGGGGGCTGTGTCTGATGCTCCACGAACATGTCGTGTTCTGAGGCTATGAACACTGTGATGGGAGGGAGGAAGAAGGCGGCGGCCTGGGTAGGGAGACCTCTTTTGAAGGAGCTGAAGATGATGGCTATTAGAGGCACAATTCAACTAGGGGACCCCCCCGAAAGGTACGGAGCTGATTTTTCAGACTCTGAAGTGGATGTGGGGGGGCACACTGCCCAGTCTTCGCTCCTGCGCAAGCCTCATGTCCATGTGCATGGCCACGGGCTGCCTCTCGCTGATGCCCTGTGTTTGTCGAGACCAGCCCGTGTTCACAGTGCGGTGACCCCTCTGCCTGAGAGTGAGCTGTGTCTCCCAGGGTCCTGTATCCTGGGCACAGGGAAAGGGGCCCACAACGAGAATTAAAGTCTACACCCACCTACCAGTGGAAGTGGTCCAGGGGGCAGCGGGTGTGTGCACACACCAGAAGTACTGAAGGGAGGGGTGGCTGGTGGGTGACTAGGACACGTGGCTTGGATTGACACAAAAGATGGGACTGTTCCCCTTGGGGGGGGGTCCCCCACACCAGCCCTGACCAGAAGAGTGCCCTGTCTTCCATCCCCGTCTCCTATCCCAAGATGCCAGTGCCTCCTCTCAACCTGTTCAGACTGGCCAGATTGAGGGGCAGCAGTGAGGAGACACGCCGGCCTGGGGCTCTGGACATTGACCTTCCTCATCTCTCTCCCCTGTGATGGCCTCTGCCATGGACAGACAAGAAAACCCCAGGAGCTTTGTTACTGTCAGGTGGCCCTTGGGAGGGATGATGGCCCCTTGGTCAGTGAGCTGACCCCATGCCCGAGGGGTGGGAGGACCGTCCCTCTGCACAGCCAAGACTCTGCCTCAACTACAAGAGCACATCCTGGCTCCCTCCCACTGCCAGCACTGGCAGGTGGGGGACTCTGGCCCAGCCTGGGGAGGGCTCCAAGTGGCTCAGAGCTCTCCCTGCCTCCTTAAACTGGAGGAGAGCGGAAGTCAGGCCCAGAACGATCGGAAGCTCCCCTCTGGCCTCTTTTCCAGGGTGATGTGGGGGAGGGCTTTAGCACCATCACTAAGGACAAGTCTGGTCCCTCCCAGCCACTTCCAGCTGTCTGCACAAACATCTGGAAATATGCCCAACTCTGGCCCATGTCTGGAATGGTCCGGTGTGGACAGCCTTCTGGAAGGGGCCTATCATCTTAGACAAACAGAGGTATGGACTTCACACCTGGGAGAGGCCCCACGCCGTGGACAGCTGCAACCGATGAGGCCAGCTCGGTAGACAAATCTCTGAAATGGACACATCTGGAACAGCCTCCCAGGTCAGGCAGACACAGCTAGGACAGACCCAGCTGCCTGCCACCAGGGAAGAGCTCTGCCCTCTGTCCCCACATAGGTATGAACCAAGCCCTCATTTCAGTCTGGATTTGTCCTTGAGTTAAAATTTTAAAGCTGAGGCCATATGTGAAGTCACAAACCTTTTTGGTAGAAGGTTAATGTTCTGTACAATATATGTATGAATGTAAAAAGATATATATATATGCTGTATATATATATATATATATGCACAGTGTATATATGACCTGTAGCCCATGTGTATACGCGCCCTCCCCTGCACGTCTGCACACAGAGTGTACATAACCCAGCCAGTATGGGTGGGGACAGGTGAGAGACGGGGGCTGCAGCAGCAAAGTTGGGGTCACCTGAGACAGAAGTGGCCAGGAGCCGGGGCTACAGAGAGCCTGCACACATCAGAGCTCCAGACCCAGAAGATGGCAGAGCTCAAGGGGGCTGGTGAACAGGCCTTTGCATGCTTGGGGGGAGGATAAGAGGAAGGTGGGGGAGAAGATAGCAGAAGGGAGAGGAGAGGGGGCCAGGGCAAGAGTGGCCAAGGGCAGTTAGGCCTGTGCTGGGGAGCAGAGTCATGCTGGTACTGGGCCCTGAGACCTATATCAGACTCACCTTTGCAGGTGGCTTCACCTGTCAGGCTCCACCTGGAATACCCTAGGAAGCTGGGATATTCAAGGTGGCAAAGGTCTCTGAGTCTCATCCACATGCAAAGGCACAACTCCCAGCTAGGGAAGACACTTTCTAAAGAGAATGGCCCCAGGGGCACTGCCAGTCTGCCAGCTCAGTGTCCAGATGGCCTAGTTACCAACCTGCCTCCATCCCCTGCCTTCTAGAACAGAAGCCCTCAAAACACCCCACAATGTATTTCACAGATCCAAACTCCGAGCCCTCTAGTTGCAGAGAAGCACTGCAGGCCCAATAATGCCAGCCAGGTGTCCGTCCCACCTGACAACCTCCCCAGACCCAGCTGGCCCAGAGGCCAACTGTCAGAGAGTGACTGGGGGGCCCGGATGCAGCAGAGCAGTGATGGGGTGAAGGATGAGAGGCCTGGGCACCGCCTGTCCCAGCACAGCCCGTGCCACCTGCCTTCTCTCCATCACTGCATCTCCCCTTGCATGGCAGCTAGCAGAGGGCCCCTCCCCTGGAGTACCCCCGCCCTCCACCTCTGCACCCCGCCCCCAAGCACAGATCTCTGTCTGTGCTTCCCAACTCTAATCCTTAACTCTCGGGCCCACCTGCCATGGGTCAGAGCATCTCTGGAGCAAGCGAGAGAAAAGAGATCTAGAACAGGGCCCCACAGTCCGCAGCCCGCTGCGACCCCATGCATCAGGCTGAGCGGCACCTAACGCAGGTCTGCCGGGCCCTGGCCGGGACATGTCTGCGCCCGGGGCCCTGAAACAGGCATTGGATGCTCGACGGCCGTCACGCCACTGTGCTCAATCCCCCGGCCCACCCCGTCCGGGCCGACTTCCTGGCTGGGCCTCCTGGGATGGGGACTTGGGTTCCCAGACAGCGCCACCGGGAGACCCCAGACCTGTCCCACCACCCAGACCAGAGTGCCTGGATGCCCCCCACTCCCGCTCAACACGGTTCCCACACACTGGTCTTTGGGCCATTCAGGGGATGCCCTTTGTGGACATGCAGAATTTCTATGAATATAGTTTTTTGTAAACATTTTGTAACAATTTGGGTTTCATAGTAACTGTGTTACTTGCCAATCATTCTAGGCTGATGTAAATAAATTTCCAAACAAATCTGATTATTTTCCTTTTTAAGACACTGTGATATATCAAAGTGCACAGTTTGCTGTATGAAGTAATATGGTTTTAAATTTTAAATAAAGAAATGTTTCTACAAAATAGACACCCCCCGGACTTGTGTTTTCTGCTCCCCTTCTCTCCTGCAACAGGAGCGTGCTGGGCACTCCAGCTGTGTGGCCGTACCCCAGAGCGCTGCTGTCCGGGCAGGATACTCGGCAGGCTTGGGGGGATGGGGGAGGGGGAGGCATCACGTGACCTGTGGCTTCCCTTCTGGGGGCACATCCCTCCCCAGCCCACATAGCTACCTGGGGAGCGGCCATCTCCTTTGGACGCTGCCCGATGGCCACTGTCGGGAGGTTGAGTAGGCATCTTACCCAACTTGGGCCAATCAGCGATTGCGTGAGCTTTTCTAAAATGGAAACAAGAAAGGCCTAAGTCCGTTACTCTCAGGAAGGTAAAACTCTCCACATAATCTGGGTCTGGGACAGGACAGTTTCAGCAGGGAGGAACAATGCCGAAGTTTCCAGAAGCAATGGGACGCCAAGGGTGCAGAGTCAGGTTGGGCCTCCACTGGCTCCCGGACACGCACAACTAGAACTGAGAGGCCAAAATATACTCCCAGGGCTGTCATCCGGGCCCAGGAAGCCTGGGCCAAGAAGCTGCTGCCTTCATACCCCCAACACAGCTGCTTCTTGCCCTCTGGGAATCTGGAGCTAGAGAATGAGTGATACATTGAGGAGTCCTTTCCCCACAACCAGGAAAGGGGGTCAGGATGCTGGCCTGTGCCTCCCTCCTGCCGCCCAGGTCCCAGGCAAGCAGATGTCACTGGCAGAGACGAGTTTTTGCCCCCAGGTCCTCCTATGAGCCCCATTTATTGAGACTTCCTAGGTAGCAGGTGCCATGTTGAGTTTTTTTTTTTTTCATTTTATTTATTTATTCATACAGAACTGGGGTACAAGCCAGAGGTGCAGAGCAGTGAGAGGATTCACCAGAAACAGAGTGGGGAGCAGAATAGGCAGATCGACAAAGTACATGCTAAGGAGAACAGCAGGCAGGCCAGGAGAGTTCTGTTGTGCCATGTGGGTCAGCTCCAGGGCTGGGGATCAAACTCGCACTGAAGCAGCTACAGCTAGCTGGCAGTGCTGCGTCCTAACTCACTGTCCCACCAGGGATGGCCCACCATGCTAAGTTCTTTTTTTTTTTTCTTTTTTTTTTTTTAAGATTTATTTATTTGTGCATACAGAACTGGGGTGCAGACCAGAGGCTCAGGAGCGGCGAGAGGCTTCACCAGAGGCAGAGTGGGGAGCAGAACAGGCAGATCGACAAAGTACACTGCTGAGGGGAGCAGCGGGCAGGTCAGGAGAGGTCTGCCACGCCATGTAGTCACCTCCGGGGCAGGCAGGAATCGAACTCATGCGGAAGTGGCTTTAGATTCTCAGTGCTGTGCTTTAACCCGCTGCGCCACCAGGGAGGGCCCATGCTAAGTTCTTAACAACACTATCTCCTTTCATGCTCACTACAGACCCTAACATGGCTGAGCCTTGTAGTCCAAATGTTTCCCCCCATTGCTGTCTCTTGAGGCTCCTGTTCTAATTCCCAGGACAGCAGCTACAGTTGGGTAAATTTGGGTCAGCTGGTCTCCAATCCACTATGTGGGGTGGCAAGGGGTCACACAATGCAGTCATGGTGGTATTGTGGGACCCAAGGTCTTTGCTTTAAGAGTGTTGAGAAAACAGAACATTCCAAAGAGACCTACATGGGTTGGGCAGGCCTCCTAAAACGTGCAGCCTTCTGGTCCTCTAGTACCAGGTAAAGCCAAGGCAAGGCCCTCGAAACAGCTGCAGAAGGCGAGAAAACCAGGAGCCAATGGGCTAAGTGCTTGAAATTCTGGTCTAGTGTGGCCTCGCAACCCAGAGAGACACTACAGGTGACAGGCAGAGCTCCAGAGCCTCAAAGTGACAGGACTACTCGATTCTGAGGTAGATTCTAGCCCTGTCCCAAGGAACCGCTTCCTTCATTTATGTCTAACTGTACAAGGCGCTCGAAGCACAGAGGCCTGCGACCCGGGGGGGGCTGGTTCCCACCTCCCTCACCACTACCTGAGTCAGGGTCCTTGTCTCCTCCATGTCCAGTGGTCAGGGACTCAAGACCACCCATGTCTCAAGACCACCATGTCCCATCCTTGTCAGGAGACAAGGGCTCTAAATGAAAGACCAGCTTCAAGGCCCTTCATCTCCTGATTTCATCAAGTGACCTTGGCCTAGTCTCAAGCTTGGGTTTCCATGCCTGTGTTTGGGAGTGGGGAGGATGCCCATCTGACTGTCCCAGGCAACTGGTGTGTAAACAAGAGGAAAAGCTTCCTGTGGGTGCAGAGTCCGGCCATGTGAGGCCCTCCTCTTTCATCAGCCTTCATCTGCTTTGGTCCTCCCAGCCTGTCCATCTGGAGCCTGCCAGGAGCCAGGGAGGTAGGGCCCAGGCACCCCAAGGCTACAAGTTACCAGGTTGGGCCAGGGCACTTGGGTCCCCCAGGGCCTTAATGGCACTTCCTTAGGAAACAGAAGCTGAGTGTTTAAGAAGCATCTGTCATTATGGAAACAAAGTTGCCAGGCCATTTTTTCTTTTACTATTTTTACTGCGGTTTCATTATCTTATGCAAATGAGGCCGCTGATGAAGCCTTTCTGCAGGGTGGCCCATGCTGGGACCAGCTCCACCAAAGGGATTTATTGCCTGCTTTGGCCTGCAGACAGGAGCTGGGCTGAGGGGGCCCCCTGGAGATGGCTTCTGGAGTGGCAGCCCTGCCCTGGAACAGGTGGTTCACCCCCACAAGCCCCATCCTGCCTCAACCCCAGGAGTGTCCCGTCCTTGATTTCCAAAGACCCAAGTGCCAGCAGAGCTGGCTCAGCCTCTGTTCCCAGTTCCTCCACAGATGGCGCCCCTTGAAGACTGAGCGGCTACTTCCCTATGGGCTGTGAGAGGACTGCTGGAAGCCCCTGAGGCTTCATGACGCCAGGAGGTAGAACATGCAGCCCAAAGAGCGTCCCACTCACAGGTACGGGCGCTGGGGTGCACGTGCAAACCTGAATGGGCTGGTCTCCAGAGGCTGCTGAGCACAGGTGCTAGCGTGCCACAGGGGTAAGGTGGACCCTGGGCAGGGTAAAGCATCAGGACAGGCAAGTGTCAGACTTTGAGCTGACTATGCAAAAGTAGCAAGGGCAGGAAATATATTCCAGACATTGAGTTTGGTCTGCGGTGATCCTATTAAGTTGCCCACACTCCAGTGGGTCAGTGCCAGGACAGGGCTAACAGGGCAGCTGCCTCCCACCCCAAAGAGCCACTAACACCTCAGTCCCAGGGCAGGCTCCCTGGCTCTCGCCCTGCCCTACCCCCACCCTCCGTGTGCCTGCCAGCTCTGGCCTCTCTGAAGGCTCCCACGGATCCTGCCTGGGAAATGGCTACCAGGCCATTTCCCCACAGATTCTAGCTGCTCTTGATGTGGGGGAACTTTCCTCCAGAAGGGTTTTGATCTCCGATTCCTTGGACCCAAATTCTCTGCTCTCAGTGGATTATGAAGACCAGCTTCCCCACCTTCTCCCAACTATCTCTGTAGCTAAGAATTCTCTAAAGCATAAGCCATCCTCTGGGACAAGAACAGATCAAGCATTGAGCAAGAGCCTTCTGCCCTATGTGGGTACTCAAACCACCCCACATTTCCCAAGAGCTGGGTGATGGAAGAAGAAAAGATGTGGAACACCAGAAGGTTCCCAGCCCTACTTGCCTGCCTGGAGACGCTAAGGTCACGGCAGTGAGCCCCGAGAAACCACCAGCTGGGACTGGGGATTCATCCCCATTTTACAGATATGGAAACCAAAGCTAAGAGAAGCAGAATAACTCATCCACACCACTCAGTAAGCATTGGCATGAGATCGCCAAAAGCCATTTTATAGATTTGAAAAATGAATGGATGAATAAAGGAATAAGTGAATCAGAAAACAGTCAATGATCAATGTTGTTTATAAACACAGAGGAGCTTCTACGCTTATATAAAAAAAAAAATCCAAACGTGATTGGGCCAAAAACAAGAATTACTAATTACAGTCACTCACAGGAACGACCTACCATTTATGCCTAATTGCGGTGTAGTCCAATAACAATTATACACATCAATAAATGTGTCAGATTAACTTGGTTGTAAGTTTTATTTGATTGCGACACTAAAGCCTGTTTGTGGTTGCTCAGACTTGGGAGGCCAAGGCCACCCTGCACTCTTGGACCATCCTGGAAACGAGGTGGACCAAGGGCTGGCAGGAGGAAAGTGGGAAAGAGAGGGAAGAGAAGCTCAGCTCTCTGCTGCAGCGTGCTGCCCTGGCAGGCGTGGAGAAAGCAATGTGGCAGGGGGTCTCTGCAGGGCGTGCGACGTCACAAGCCCCCCCTCCTTTCCTCAGTGCCAAAGGCAGCTTCCTAATTAGAACATCCATAACCCCCAGCATCTGCTCCAAGAGAATTCAGCTGCTCTAAGATGGAGAAGTCCATTAACTTTATTGCACAAAACGTCGGACGTGCTTTTAGACAGAGTATCACTGCCAAGTGAGATAAACTGCCGGAACCCGCCAGAGGGACAGGCCAGCAACTTCCTGCAGTCCCCTACTGGGTCCTCGGGACTCCCTGCTCTACCTGCCCCAGGCTCTGCGTGCTGCCCTTTGCCCGGGGGGGCGGAGCCGGGGGACTGTGAACGGCAAGCGCAGGTGCTGCTGGGGCGCCCTGGCCTCCGCATTGAAAGCCTGAAAGCCGAAGCCCGCTGAGTGTCAGTGCCAGACAGGCGCTGTCTGGATCCCAGAATGCATCTGGAGTCTGCCCCAGAGTCAGGGTGACTCACAGCTACCCGGTTGAGCTGGCGTTACCCCAGGCAGCCTGGCGAGGTGGCTAATGCGGAATCAGATGCTGGGGCTGAACCTCAGCTGCGCCACTCAGGAGTGGTGTGACCTTGCCAACGTGCCCTAGGGTGCTGATGTCTAGGGGCGGAGTGATACCTGCCTCCGAGAGG